GACAGGAAAGAATGCTTTGGGCACCACCCCCCCCGCACGCCCAAAATGCATTTCTCGAGCAGGTGCAAGCACGCAGCTCTGGGTTTTGGGTTTGGCCACTGTACATGAAATACCCGAAAGCTTGTGCCAGCAATGACGTTGCAGGGCATATCCACGCACGCCTTCGGCGATCGTAAAACACACGCCCCGTCCTCAACACAAACCAACCCGCCAAACGCGGCAGCACGTGTAATGCAAAAATTGGAGTGCAGCACTGCATGAACGCTTAAGCCGTGAATGTTACATACTGACCCGCACCACGTATACAACAGCAGCACACGCAATGCCAAAAGCCCTACAAGTGCACTTCTATCATCTCATCCTCCTCGAAAGAGGGCTCTGCCAACCTGCATGGATTTGTCCTTTCCTCCAGTGCCCGGATGAGAAAGGAGGGGGCTGCCAGCTCCCTGGCCAGGTCCACAGGCAGCGCTCCGCGAGCATTTTGCAGTCCGACGTCAGCACCCACCTGGATGAGGGCGGCTGCACCCTCATACTGCCCGGCGATCAATGCGATCATCAGGGGCGTGGCACCGTTGGCGTGGTAGGCGAACCTCCGCATGTGTGTGGAGTCCCCCTGCCGGTGCAGGAACCCCAAGAGTTTGCAGAGCAAACCCATCGCTGTCCTCAGGGTTGCGTGTTCAAGTGTTGAATTACCCCCTCGGCTGCTGCTGCAAAGCCTAGCATTTCTTTGTGCTTCAGGGCCGGCGCTACTCCTCGTGGACAACTTCAGCTGCTCGTTGAGGTCGGCTTTGGCGTCGACCAGTGCCCCAACCATTCGCGCGGAGCCTGCAAGATGATACTTGACAAATCAAGATCAAAAGATTCAAAATGCCTAGGCTGAAGGGGATGTTTAGGGGAGGTGGACAATCACCTGTCAAGCAAGTGAAAACAACGAGGAGGCATGTCCCCAAGTCATGATGCCTCTCTTACTAGCAAGACTTCCTGGCCTCCTCGAAAAAGCATAGCCCAGTGCAGGGCGTAGGATAAGTCTGCCGCGTTGGAGGCTTGGGCACAGATCTCCTGAAAAGCTTCCACAGAGCCAAATCCTGTTGCATGTTGCAAAGCGGGAAGGCCCAAGACATCCGGCACCTGCCAGCACAACATGAACGACGTGGAACAACCCAAATCCCGGCGCCCCCTCCCCTCTTTCTCTCTAATCCGTGAGGCGCCATCGCGTTTGCCCCTGCTTCACAAAGGATGCGGATGCTGGTGGGGCAATTTGCCCAAGCAGCGGTGCACATGGGTGGCTCCCAACCAGAAGAGATGCTGGCCCCCGCATCAATCAGAAGGCGCATTGCTTCGTGGTTCCGGAAGAAAGCGCCTTGGTCTCACGTCGAACCCTGAAAGATGAGCTCTGATCAATGATATGAACACTTGTGAAAGTTAGACGTCAAAGGTAGAAAGGATCGAAGAGCCCCCAAGGTGCAAAGGGCCAGTGCCGAGATTCGGGGAAATAAACCCACCATCTTCTGCTGCTTTTTGGTCTGATCGTTTGGATTTGCCCTCTGCTGCAGCAAGCCCCGCACGAGAACGGGGTCACCATTCATGGCAGCGTAGCACAAAGGTGTCCACCCTCCTTCGTCCACCTGCCGGACATTTTTCAAGCCGTTCTGGTGGAGGAAGCGGGCTACAGCCTGGGTCTCCAGGCTGTGATTGAACCCTTCGGAGCTGAACGCATCAGGGTCGAAACCGGGAGGATCAAACACCTCGTCAACCGGCAGCCCCCGCATGTGGAAATTGTGCAGGTTGAGCAACACCCGATAACTTACGAAGTCTTGGGCTCGTAGGTAAGCCATCAGCTTGCGCCTGAATCGCTGGCCCAAAACCGGCGAAAGCATGGCCAGGTCTGCCGTTTGCGAGAATATCCCTTCGCCCACGGAACCACCATAAGACGCCACCGAGCTTGACATCACTTCCACATTCTTGGAGCTCTTGATTGCCTCTGAGCCAATGGACACCCACTTCTAACATGAATGCAGAGGACATCTAAGAAACAAACAACATCAAAAATGACGAATCCATCCAAAACCATCTGCTCTGGACGGAGAAACAAGCCACGATCCAGCTGCTCTGCATGGAAAGCTCGCGAAACGTGCGCTCGGCGCGACACCAACCACGCCCTGCCCAACTTCGCGGACTTACGACCTGTGCAGTCAAGCGTTAGATTCTCAAACTGGGAATCCAAAATTCAAGACTCAAACCTTTAAACCTAGGCCAAAAACCCTAAACACCCCGAGAACGCCTACCAAAACATCTCTGGCGACAGCCTGACATTCATGGTTGTCTGTGCTGCTATAACCTTTGGCTTCAGCAGCTTCTTGCAACCCTCTTCCTGCGAGCATCTCCTCTTCTCCCTCCTCCTCCTCCTCCTTCTC